TATAATTAATATTTAATAAAATAAAGAAAAACCCGATTTTTGAAAAGTTAAACTAGTGATCTGATTTGTGAAATTGATATTTTAAATACCTGCCTGGTGTAATTTCCTCTTACGTAATCTCTTACATGTAATAAGATTCATAAAATATTCTGGATCATTCAGCTTGGCCAAGGCCACGTGGGCCCGGCCATCCGAGCCAAATAGCAGAGTCGAAATATTCATTACGTTAACTCACATTTTTTTCTACTTTTTAATTACATATTCTTCAAAAAAATCATTATTCAAAATTTCGTTTTGTTGTCAAACAGGGGCTAAAGTTCCCTTAAAAACGCGTTTCAATCCCCGAAATTTACCTGTCTCCTGGCGCGAAAATCTCCCACCCCAAACCAACCCCCCTTCTCTTTCTCGCACACAAACGCACTCTCATCTTCATTATTCAAATGAGTGCAATGCGGAATGAGAATCGATGAATTCTATAATCATTGTAAGTATATCATAATTACCATTTTCATTCTAATTCCACGACATGCAATCCAATTCATATTCATTTGATTCATCCCAAATTTTGTTCTCCGTCTTCTATCCTCCAATTTATTCAATGTAATAACGTATATGGTACTTATTGATTTTTTTTTTTTTTTTGGAGATAAATATGCATTTATTTCAAGATAGCATTGAAATTCTCAATTTCTTCGTGTTGGGGCTTTGGGTGATTAAACTTAATTCATCAAGCACACATGCATATCATATGCACGAAGGATATTTTCCTAATTGCTAAAAAACGTTGTTTATACAATCTAAATTAGTGTACAATTTCGGTATGAAGCCATTTGTTTTTCTGCATATGCAATCACTTTAGATTTTTTTTTTTTTTTTGGTTCAATTCTACTTTTTGTCAAGAAATTTGCGAGTTCTCTTCGTATGCAGATATTTGGGAGGCGAAAGCACATACAGAAAGGGAGAAGAATATGCCTTTTTGATAGTGTGATAGACAAGACCAATCAATTCTTAGTTCTAATGAAAATATGTAGTGCTTGATTTTCTGTTGCCAGTTTTAGCCGGATGGCTAATTGGAGAACTTGCAGCTTGATATCACACATTGCGCAAATTGTTTGCGTTTAATCACAATTTATGGATTTTTATTAATCTGATATAGTTTTTCTCAACTTGTATTACAGGTTTCATATATGTGCTGTTTCATGCTTTTGTGTGCCAGTTGAAGAACATCCTCTGATTCTTC